TATATATATATATATATATATATATATATATATATATATCTAAGTCGGTTTCGACTACGACTGCTATTAGAGCTACGGTTGTTTGCTCTTTCATGTGCTCTTAGATAGCTACAGTATGCAATCTTATTGGTAAATGTTCGCAAAAAGTAGCGACACGTATAAGGACATCGTCGACGAAGTAGTAAAAGATGGCTGCAGGTGTTCTAGCTTTGAAAACATCACGTTTCGCCTCCACATATGGAGTCCACAGTCTCTGCTCCTTAAATTTTGGCACCTAAGTTTTCACAAAGTGCCTCCACCCAGAACGGCAACTCGACTGCATCTCCCACCTCGAGTGATCAATGTTGCAACTTTTCATGTGTCTTTTCAGAACATCCTCTGTGTATCTCATGAACTGGTCGCCTAGTTTCCGTTTACGTTTCTAGAGTTCAGAAAAGAAGCTTCGCTTCGGAACCCTCGATTCAGACGCGCGAGACGTGTCCACACCAACAATAGTGATAAATGGACGTACAAGGCGCCAAAAACAAGTACATTTAAATTTAGAATTTCGATTCGCTATTCGCTACACTCATATTGAATAACTTTTTTATATAAAAAGTAGACGTCAAAATTCTGCTTATCGGCTTTCGCTGTGTCCGTTATCGCGGTCTTCTCAACGATAACTGAAATGCATATGGAAACCCTCTTTAAAACTAATCATATGAGCCCAAACACAAGGTAGCCACTGTACTACACTGTCGATATTGGTACTACACTGTTCCTCACAGCTGTCTACCATTTCCATCATGAGATAAGCTCTAGACCACCATAACATTTTATTTTCATAGAAATTACATCTATATGTGAAATTTTTTAAAGTAATGTAAAGTTTTTATTCTCACTCCTTCACTATTCATGCGGTCAGATTTTGGAATGCACTTCCTTGAGAGTTAAGGAGCACTATTCATCGATTATTCCATCCATTTTATAGGTATTATATATTTATTTGTTTAAGTATTTATATAGTTTTAATAATTCAATGTTTTTGGTTTTTTTCTTATTCATAATTTTTGTTTTGTTGTGCACGTAAACCCATTATTGTAATTATGGTCTCCAGTATTTAGGTCTGCAGGAAGAAATTTCTGTTACAAATAAGCAGTACCTTTTGTTTGTGTTTTCCTTGTTACTAAATGTGTTTTCGTTTTTTTTCTGAACGATAAATAATTTAATTAAATTTTATTGAATTCGGTTAATGGAAAGTGAGTGAAATCCAACAAGCCGGAAATTTTCCCTAATTTGCCCACGTCTCAGGTGAAATATTTTCTTCAAATTTAAATGAAACGACTAATGACGATAACGACTAACTAATCACAATCGCCGGAGTAATCCCGTGAGATACACAAAAAAACAACTTTAGTAAATTGGATTGGATTATAATTTTTATCATAGAAACATACATACTTTATAACAAAATTTAAGATTGTTGTTAGAGATATTTCATTCAATTTTCTCTCCAGTGTTCCGTAATAAATACGTTAGGCTCAACTCACACTGGCGCACAGTCGAAGCGTCGACGCGTCGCGTCGCGTCCTGTTTTCCAACTACAACGCCTGGTGACGTCACTCGCATTAGTGCGCCCGGATCACAGTGTGGTCGGCGTCTGACGCCTCACTGCGCCCAGGCAACGCGCGGTTACCACGCCCTCGTGTACCTTAACAGCGAATCTGAATTCTATTTACTAGGCAACATTTAAATTCCTCTGAATAATACAACCGCGCGGGCTGCCGCATAGACCAAATTCAAGCAGCTTCGCCCGCGTGCCCGAGACGCCCATTTAAGGGGGAGCAGAGGAAAAATTCCTAATCTTCGATTTGATTTTAGAGGGGTATATCCACTTTAAAGTTAAAAATAAAATATTGTATGAGTAACTACACGATATATTCAAGCATAGACACTAATCAGAAACAAAACAATAAAGTTTCCTCGATAGATAAAAATCACGAAATGACCTCTAATTTTCACATTTTTTCGATTTATCCTCGAAATGCTACAGGTTATTAAGATAAAAATTGGATAATTAATTATATTTATGCATGATCGAGAACTGTCACTACGGATTTTTTTAATCCCTTTAGTTTTAGAGTTATTCCGCTAAAACGAATTTGGTACGCAAAATTCAACATCTCCTGTCGCATGTCACGCGAACTTCAGGCATATATTTGTTTCACAAATTTGAGCGAAGCCAACGTCAAAACTTTTTTGGCATGCTCCCTCTTAAGTAAAAAGCTTATTTTGCCATGACAGTTAGACGCACGCGGTCGCTGCGCGGCAGCAACGCAAACTCCGCTCGGCGACCGCGCGGCGGCCACGCGGTGTGAAATTCGTGTCGAATAAATGGGCCCTTACAATAAGAGAGTATACTTTATTTCTAAAAGGCTTTGTGTTTAAGTATCTGTCGTCTACCGCGCATGCTTAAAAAACCTACGCAACCACAATACCATTTCGCCTTAACTTAAATCACCATTAGAATTGGAACCAACATAGCCATATTATCACTAATTTTCCAAAAAAATTCAAATAGTGGAAATTCTTCCGAAAATTTCTGAAAAATTAGAAAAATATAATTCGAAGACTCATATTTTTATTTATTTTTTTTATAACGCACACATGGGAAACCCTGAGTCGCGGGTGCCATGGACACGGTCATACACAAATTACACCCAAACTCGAAGAGATAAATAAATGTAGGCTACACCAATATTTCTCCCAGCCCGGGAATCGACCTCGGGACCTCGGTGTGGCAGACCAGCATGGTAACCGTTAGACCATGGAAGCAGTTCACGTTATATTATGTTACGTTTAGAATCTTTTGAAGTTTTGTTTAACGTTAATTATAAAATAAAATTGTATAGGTAAAAACAAGTTACAGTAAAACAAGATTTAAAATGACAGGACAAAGACAAAAAAAGAATCATAGGAAAAAAATTTTTTTTGGAATTCCATAATTTCGTCCAACTTTTGACAAGTGTCTGTCAAATGGGAAAAAATATAGGAAAAATATGTATTTTTCTGAAACATGAATTTTTCAAAATGGAAATTTTTCCATGACCCAACACTAATTATCGTAGAACCGAGAAAACGCCCCTTTCTCGACCTCATAAATAAATATATTATAAGTAATTCAAAATAAAATTATTAACATAACGAATTTATTTCGAAAATAGTAAGTTACTTTATTTCTATTCCATACATAATACAATAGTCAACAAAATATTCACGTTTAACAGATAATAAATACCAATTGTTAAATAAATTGCAAGTTTCTACAGTGCAATGCATGTGCATTGTTTGTTTAGCTTATTGTCTCTTAAAATGTAAGTATTAAAAGGTTTACAATATTTTTATGACACAAGTCTTATTATGCTCGCAACAGAGTAAAAAAGCAAGGTTTTTTAATATTTACTGTTTTTAACAAAAAATAACATCTTTATAGCCAATCAGTGTAAAAATTATACTTGTTGTATTGGTGCGAAATTTGAGCTTATTAAGTTCGTTAAAATAAACAACATTTACAGGTATGTATTATATAACATTATGCAAACTCACAGCTTGCATTCTCATTTCGAATTGAAAGTCGCATTTTGGTCAGTTATCTTTTGTTTCTCATTGGTCAGATAACCTTGTTCGCTCATTCAATCAGTTTTCTTTTGCTTCACCAGGAGCACCAATCAGAAACCAACGTGTGCGCGCCTTTACAGCGGTATTGCGAACTAGGCGTTTCTTATCGTCTAAAGCTGGTGCAAGGTCGAATAGGACGTCTTGTTTGTAAGGTAGTAGGTATATCGTGCGGTAGCAGTTGGCAATCTCGTATAGACATTGTAGGCTTTTTATTCGAATATCCTGAAACAACAAATACAATATAAAATTGACGACTAGTTAACAAAGACGTTAGCAAATAAACGATAAGTTACCTTTTATCAATAGCTTCGTATCAGTTTCGCATATTAAGTACCGACCACAGAAAAGGTTCGTCATACTTTTTTAAAGGATATTCATAGTAATGTAATGTAGTACAATGCTTCTGTTTTCTCAATGTCCCTAGGTAAACTTCGTGTATCGGCTGTCGTCGGATTTTATTCAGTTACCCTTTGCCTTTGGTACGGACGGGATGCTTTCAGTCGACTTAGAAGTATATAGAGTTGCTATTACACTTTTTATTTATTATACAATGGGAGGAAAGCCGCTAAAGTCACAGGCACGACAAATAGTTTACAGCGTGTACTTGTATTTTTTACAAGAAGCCGATACGTTCAAAAAAGACAATGGTTATTTTCAAAAGATCCAAAAACGTGTTTCTGTAGCTTGTGGTGTTTCAATCGAACAGTAAAGAATCTTTTAAAATAATATGATTAAAAAGATAAATCAGTTCCTTTTGAATCACTCTGTGAACTGTACATGGACAATTTTATAATAAATACCTGTTCGAGCAGCGCGGAAAGTGATATTCCATCGATGGCGAACATAGCTATGTGCGATGAAGAAATGCGTTCAGATACGGACTGAATTGAAATTACTCGTATTAATAACCAGAAAAAAGAATTTTTAGTTATATAAAAGAAGCACACTTTACTTACTTTATACTTTTTGTTAACTTGCTTATTTACATGGAGTAAATGTTATTAACAATAGAGAAATAGTTTTACAGCTCTATATAGTTCCCACGGAAATCAAAACAACAATAAAGTACACACGCCAGCACATCAAGCTACACATTGACGTATACTGTTCCGTTGCACTGGAGGCCATTTTCGAACAAAAAATTGTAGTTTGATGTGCCGTTGTCCGTACATTGTTCAAAATTCAAATTATTATAGTAAAATCTAAATACGTTAAATGTAATAGTTAATGGGCATGGAAATTAATATTCGTGTGCATTCGGAAATCCGATTATTGCCGAGGGACATTGGGAAAATAGAAGCACTGTACGTATGTTTTTTTTTGACACTGACACTTTGCAGTTGGCCACTGATGGCTTTGAATGCGCCATCCATCGAGTTGCGCCAAGAGACAAAGGGGCAAGTTGAAGACTCTTAACCTCTTTAAAAACCTTGTCTCAGGACGCTTCTGAAGACTTCAACATGTTTAGGACAAGCAAAATTTACAGAATATAGTGGCAGCACATTCCATATGGCTTATAAACAATTTACCGGTTTTTTTTTATCTTTCAGGTGTACATATAAGACAAATGACATTTTTTTACACCTAGTGATATTCAAATTCTGTTTTTTAAATATTCATATTTTGTGTTATTTTTTCCTGTAAGTCAATCTGATAATTGTATAGAGAAAGAATTTATATTGACAAAAATTTTATGGTTAAGCTTTAGTGTTTGTTATCTTCAGTAAGATCACCATAGTTCACTTTATTTGAGGCATTTTTACCTACATTAGACAGTCACAAATTTGCTACACCGGACCAGAAATTATTTACAGTGTAAAAGCCATTGACCTACCAACAAATGGACGTCGGGTTCGCGCTAACAAGTGTCCGCACCGACAGGGCATTAAGATCGCATACAGAGCGTCAATCGCGTAACAGTCTTCGTTTGTTCGACTGACAGAGCGATTGTCAATCATGACATTGAGAACGATGGCCCTAATTTCGTCTCTATTTCTGGTTATATACTCAATGTCAGAATATATTAATTAGGTCATGGTCAATATTTGAATAATATTACAAGGAAAAAACTAACTTCTTATATTTCATATTATACAAGAGGATTTAATTGATATCCACGGCCATTTATATAATATAAACTCCTACCAGGCTATTGATCAGCGTCATCTAGATCTAAGACGGAATTTTGACCTTTATCAGTTACGATCTGCAGTATGGAGATTAACAATCCTCTTCATGACATTATAATGCACTTACCATGGACTCAACATATTGAGATAGTTTTACCAATCTAGGCAGAACAGTTTGTAGGCTGGACGCGACTATGCTGTTTGTTTTCACGAAGTAGGTGAGGATATCAACCATAACCAGGAGCAACTCTTTATTGCCATACACAAGAGAGTCGATTACCAGAGGTACGATCTGAAATTATAAGACATTATCCATGAATTGTAATTATAATATCACAGTTCTGTACTTCGGAAGTAACGAGCTGTATACAACTGTAAGGTGCCGCGCGAACGTGTGTCTTGTGTTGAATACAAGTAACCGGAACTAGAAGTGAATATTCTTATACATGTTGCGGTTACGGCAATCGGCGACAGTGTCCGACTGCAGCAACTGGCAACTTTGTCGATTTCATACCAATTGTATGAAAATAGAACATTCGGTTCTATTTGCCGGTTATTTGTATCCAACACACGTTGGCGCGGCGCCTTATGAATGTACAGGACAGACAATATAGTGTCAAAATTTGTGCTGTTCGGATTTTAATTTAGTATAAGTGCAAGGTAAAGCTTTTTGTTCTAAAATTTATATTAAGTATCGTCACTTTAAAAATAATACAGCGCGCTTTATAATAGGCGGGAAAATTTGAAGTTTATAATTATGAAAAACGACCAGAATTGTAGAATCGTGTATTATTTCATCATGATAATTATTTTAGAATTTTAGAATTAATAGTTTCTACCAAGATCATTGACATTATTTAACCAATTTAATGATGCCAGTCGAATAGATCTTTTCTCTAACAGCGTTAAGAATATAAAAACTATTATGACTTATAAAATTACTTCTTATCAAGTACTGATAAGAAGGCCTATGTTCAGCAGTGGACTCTTCCTGCTCTGATATGATGATGATGATGATGATGCAGTACGGATAAAGCGATTGTTGTGTTCTCATTGATATGTTAGTTTGTATTATTGTAATAAATGTTATTTTCTTATTTACACGCATCGAGTATAACCAGAAATAGAGACGAAATGTAATTTAATTTGTTTGAAAACTATTCTACCATATCATTACTGTGACAACTGCGCTCCGATTGGCCAGCCCGAGTTCGAAACAATTGACGGGTGTCGTCAACTGTTTCACTTCAAATCGACCAGCTAACTTGAGCTTTGCTATAATGGACGAAAATTGCAAAATTACATATTTAATATTTAATTACCGATGAAATGTGATTTCGTTTGTTTTGTAATTAGATGTTTTGCAGTTTTTCCCACACCACCGAATAGAACAGCACGGCATTGTTAGAGATATTATCTTTATTACAATAAATACAGAATATTTTTTGGAATATGAGGAGACGTACACACAGATCAGTAGTTGGTCTGTTTATATTTATAAGAGCTGTATTGCTAATGTGTTACCAGGAATATATGGCCCTTATTTCGTCTTATTTCTATTTCTGGTTATATACTCGATGTTTTCACGAGTGTGCCTTTATTTGGCATCTAATTAGTCATATTTAAATCCATGTTTTAAAAGCACCTGTAAGCTCTCCTAATACAATAAAATAAAATACATAATATAATGTCATGCCACACATTTTTCCAATGCCGTCAAAAACTATTGCAGTACACTATTACAGGTGAATGGAAGAAAATGGAAGCGTCGAATTTGCGAAAGATGAGTAAATATATTATAGAATTACTTTTTAGCATCAATCAAAATTTACTTTAACAGACGAAATAAAAAAGACAAATAAGAACCTTTTCAACTTCATCATTAAGCACAGTCTTCGGAGTTTTAGCTAAAATATAAGCCCAACTCAGCATGTAACTTTCCTTAATTTCTTCCTTTACAATAAAACATTCTGCCAATTTAGAAAATGATTGGAACATCCTTTGTTTGTATAGGAGACTGACGCGACAGTGATGCCTTGGTGTTAAATAGTCCGGTGAGTCAGTCATTATGACATGTAATGCCTCAGCTGCGTCACGAGAGTAATCTGGGCTAGATAGTGCCACTAATATCTGGAAATGAAGATCTGTATTAATAAACTACTGAAAACGGAAATTAATGTACGTTACTAAGAATTACTAAAACCAAACACGAACGAAACATTAAAAACACAAGAGTTTACAGAGTCAAGTCGCTAGAGGCGTAAATATACATATGGTTATTTGTATAGCGCCCCTTACGACCAGAAGAACTACAATTTGCTATGTACATACATGTTACGCAGATGGAACAACGATCAAATACTTATTCTTAAAAATATCACTCATTTTATGAATAATATTTTTTTACGAAAAATAGTTATAAAAATTAAACCTGGGCTTTTTTTATTGTCCCAAGTCACAAATTTAATGCTATTTATTATACAGGGTGTAAATTTGAGACGGGGCAGCAAGGCCAGCTATCTTAATCGTTGCAGTTGCAGGAACACGGTTCTAGAAGACTATCCAAGAATTTTGAAGATATTTAGATCGGCAATCACAGATTTTGAAAAAATGGTACAGTCAGCAAGATAAAAGGCAATTTTTACAAAAAAATTTTTTTATGCCATTCGATTTGGTCTCTGGTAAGGATCAATAGTCTCTACGGAACCAACTGACGTAACAGTACTCTAAATGTCAGAAATCGCAAAAAAACTTTTTATCATACATTTTGTAGGGACCTATTTAGTAATCAGTTATTCTGGAAACTAACAATAAGGAAACTAACAAATTGACAACGTATTACGTATTTCAACATAAAAACAATAACGAAAAACAAAATAACATAAAAAGTCTATGATAGTAAGTGCCCGAATTGATTGCCGCCTCGGCGGATGCATCGGTTCGCTTTCTTCCGCAAAGAGCAAGTAGCGGCTGAAATTCTATTCAGATGGATTCTATTGAAAATTGCTGCAAGTGCGTTTTTCAATTATTGAACACTGTTGTATTTTTTTATAAATTTAATTTTTTACATAGCCCCAAAGAAAAAATCAAGGGGCGTCAGATCAGGACTGCGCGGTGGCCATTTGATAGGACCATGTGTTCCAATTAATTTGTTTCCACACTTAAGAACATTTTGATTAAAAATCGTCTTAAAAGTGACAATTCTCTATTAACAAAGCTATTCCAAATTAAAAAAATAGTGATATGATTATAATTTAGTTTTACTTAAGTCTTATTTGTAGAGTAGTGGCTAGTTTCGTTTCTAACAAAAAAATTTCATTTAAAATGTGTGGTAGAAGATTTTTTGCGATTTCTGCCATTTCGAGTACTCTTACCACAGTTAGTCCCGTAGAGACTATTGATCCTTACCAGAGACCGGATCGAATGGCATAAAAAAAAGTTTTGTAAAAATTGCCTTTTATCTTGCTAACTGTACCATTTTTCAAAATCTGTGAATGCCAATCAAAATATCTTCAAAATTCATAGATAGTCTTATAGGACCGTTTTCCTGTAACCACAACGATTAAGGTAGTTGGCCTTGCTGCCCGGTCTCAAATTTACACCCTGTTCTCCCTCTTCTGCAATAATATTTGTTGATATTTAAAATTTGTTATTTACAATATTTAAACCTATCGTGAAACAAAATCTTTGTACACGTTGTAGTGAATAAAGTTGTCTTCAAGTGCTTCCTTTGTGTCGAAGTAGTATACTAATTGTTTCCTCTCAATTAGAATAAAGTTGTACACAATTTACATTCTTTCCATTGGAATAATTACATATGTGTATGTATAATTTAACATCAAAAATTCAATAAAATAAAAATCTCACCTTTTGCAACCAAAACAAAAACAAGTCGCTTCCTCTCATAACCAATGCTTTTGCAATCCAAGCATACAAAAGTGTCAATTTCGTACATAGATTCTGATTATTGGTAGGGCACATAGACAGATATTTCTTTAGCTCATCGTACAACAATTCAAACTTCGGTCCATACTCAGCTTTATTCAAAAAATGCGCACACAATCCACAAGCTTTGGTTCTTATAATCTCGTTATCACTCATCACCGCGAAATCTAATGTCGTAGACAATACAATTTGAAAAGTGTCATCAAAGACGCTATGATCCACTGAACTGTAGAGACTCTCTAAAATAAAGAGATATTTCTCATTCTGTTTACATTTTTCTAAGACTGATGGTGCATGTTTACACAACATTTGCTGCTGTTTCTCTCGAGGCAAACTGCTCATAGTATGTGATATTAATTGATAACCATGAGACAATTTATCGTGAGATATATCTTGTATTTCTCTAAAAATCCAAGCAAGAACAGAATCAATAAGACTATGATCACTCTCTATTTGAGCAACTTTATGTTCTGAAAATAAATTGCTATTTGATATTGACTCACTCAAAGCTTCTACAACTCTAGCCACTGAGCATTTTAGACCAGCTTCGTCCTGGCTGTTGGTAACAACTTTCAACATTTCCTCTATAATAATTTTAGTGAAATCGTCTATACTGGCCAAGTTTGATAACAATAACAAACGTTTCTCTACTGCCTTTTTCTCACAGAGAACGCTGTTTAAATGACATTTGCCTTTAACCACTAAACTCATAGTTAATTCAGGATATTTTCTTGCTATTACGTGAACCGTTTCAACGCTTATACTCAACAAGTCACTTTCATGAGAATATTGAACGTTATGGATTAGAACTTCAACAAAAGGCAAAACCAGGTCACTTTGCAATTCATTTATGACTTTAATCAAAAGTTTAAAGCCAGCTATTTGGAACTCTTTCACTGGCATGCTCACTGCATTCAAACAATGCTGAGGGATTGCTCCAATCTGTTCTTTAATCATGTGCAAGATATCCCAATGTTTCGCAACTGCATATAAGTCTCCTAAAAATTCCAAACAGCCAATTTGTAGACGTTGCGAAGAGTTGAAGTCGCTAAATGTCATTGCAGCTGGTATCATTGCTGCTGCTATTATGACACAGGCTTCTTTAGCGGCATTGGCTGTTGTTAACAAAACTCTTACTGCTTGGAGAAACTGTATTGCAGTTGTAGACTCTGCTATACGTGTCTGTATTGATATAAGTATTCCTTTGACGAAACTTTCAAAACCTTGATCTGTGTTAACAGTGATGGACAGTTTTGTTACTAGAGCGGACAATGCTTTGTGTGCAGCCATGTTTAGTTCATCATCAGTCTTTTGGAATATTTCTCGTTGGATTGATGTCCATAATGTTCTCAGGAATGGTGCATAGCTATCTGCTTTGAAGGTTCTGCAGCTTTCAGTCTGGAAATCATACAACAATATAATATTAAAAATGTTGACATGAAAGTGAAAGAAGTCCTATGTGTCAAGTAATAGTTGATACACAGAATAAATGATTCACTTATTAATCTACAAAATTTACGAATAGTACCCATGCATTATGTGCATTCACATCAGTGTCTTTTTTTATAATATCAAGTGATGGGACGAACAAGTTGTGCGCCTGATGGTAAGCTACACGCCTGTCCATAACGGTTGCAGTGCCACTCAGAGCTTCAAATCGCAAAGATCTGAGGGGCACTGCCACTGCGCCGGTCGCCCTGAGACATAAGTTGACATGTCCCGTGTGCCTGTAATTTCACCAGCACCCTTACCCTTCAAAAACCGGAACACAGTAATGGTAACACTACTGCTTGGCGACAGAAATAGGTAAGGTGACAGTACTTCCTTAGACGAACTCTTTCACAAGGAGCTCTACTGCTACTAGTCTTGTGATGACCCTGATCAGCTGTGAGAGACTATTTGTATCCAACACAGCGCCTCTTTAGTATTCGTAGGCGTTAGGCAGGTCTACGGATTACACTTCTATACAAAATAAAACGATTATATGCCACAAAAAAAAACGATTATTTCAAAGACAAAAACTTAGTAACTTAAATCAAATTATATTTAATAGGTACAACTACGTAGCAAGGAATGCTGTGCAGAATTGGTTTACACAGCACAGGGGCCTTACCGTGAATTTTTATGATTCCGTTTAGGACCTAAAATGAATTGTCGTGAGACAGCGCTACATGAAGTGTATATCACCTTCCCGCTTTTCTGTCGTTACGAACCTAAACTGAACTGTAATGAGTTCATGGTAAGGCCCCAGATCTTCAGTCAGGGCATCCCTTGCAGAACTAATACCCAACCAACAAAATGTTTTACAATATCAGCAATGATATTGTAAAAGTTATAATGACATACTTAAATCAAGTAACTATAACAACATGATCACAATAGAAAAGTTCATGGTTGCAGTGATGAGGGGCTGCATATGCTCCGAATGAAGCTACCCTAATAATAACTATAAAATCAACTGTCATGAGAACTTACCAAAAGTTGCAAAGAATCCAGTTTTGCCAACCGCAAATGGGAGTCTAACTTCTCAATTAATAACACCATACATAGTTCTCCAAACTCTGGAATAGCGCATAAACAAGGGCACAGCGCGTTTGCTAACTCCTGTCTAGTCACGGCTTCGGGATCATTGGGCGAGGGATGGAAGTCAATAGGATAGTAACAAGATATAACTTCAAACATCTCTTCATTTAAGTGCCCAAGCGGAACTTCCGACAGAAACATTGGCAGAAAATTAAAGAGGAACAGTAAATTGCGGGGATCTCTTTCACCATCTATTGATGATATCGTGCCATAGACAAAGTCTGTTCCCAAAGATTTCAAGTCTGAAATTAAGATGGTAATATTATTTCAATATGTAAGACAGCAAAAAAGACACCTGAGTAGTTCACAAGAGTAAAACCATAGCATAATAAGACAAGTATAATACTGAAAGGCGCGTAGGGACGACCAGTGTTATGTAATGCGAGTGTGTCGCGAGATTATGGGAATATGTCGCGTCGCGAGATTATTATAATAAGCAGACGCACACATATACGAGTCGCGCTGTTACTTTGTACTGAGTTACCATACTTCTCTAATTTTACTATATTTTAGCCTTTACTAGTTCTTCTTTATAAATGTCTCACAAGAGCAGAATATCATATTTTCAATTCTTGTAATAATAAGTTGTTTATTTTTGTGTCTTTTACATATCTTTTTATTTATTCATGAAAAGTTTAATAGTAGAAATTGCTTGCAGTGATAATGGCAGCCTTTACTAGTTCTTCTTTGCATATGTCTCACTATAGTCCATTTGTTTAGGTACTTAACTAAATGTAAACAATCTTGATACATCTTTTTATTGAAACACATGCTTTACAAATCAATAGGTATAAAAATAGGCATGCAATTTCATATGAAGCTAAGTATTTGTATTTTGTATTTGAAGGTAAGTGAAAATCATTTTATAAATGTATATTTCATTAAATAGACATCTCAAGATTGTTTACATTTAGTTAAGTACCTAAACAGATGGACTATAGAACAGTATTTCATATACATTAACTTAATGCAATAATTCCTAACAAGTGTAATATTTTATGTACCTACATTCAATTCATGTAATAATTCCTATTGTTAGTATTTTTTCTACTTTTCTTTACTTAAAATTTACATTAAACATTATAATTTTAGTGTTAACTACATTAGTAATATCGTGTCATCTCATCTTAAAAAAGCAGTTCCTACTGAAAACCAGCATTACAGCAGGCAAGCTTTGACATGACATGCTGTGTTGGATCCGTTTCAGCTTATAGGTATATGTAATCATTAATTTGCTATATTTTGTTGTTTGAGTCTTTATAGGCTGAATAAACATTTCTTTCTTTCTTTCTTTCTTACTATAACAATTATATTTATTTATGTAGCATTATTACATTCTAGTTCCCTAAATGTGTGCAAAAGTTGGAGGCAGGTTCAAAATCAGTGCTGAGCGAGTTATTGGCAGAATGCTGAGACTGTCCTATGTTGATAATTTTACTACAATGTGAAAAATAATACTTACAACCAGAATTTTTTTCAAACAATTTTTTTATGATCAGATAAATGTGATATCTGTCCTGTCTCACTTGAGACTGACATGGAACTTCTCTAAACAATAATATGAAAAATTCTTCACAATTCTCTATGCTGTAATTTTTCATATCAATAATTGATAAGTACCCCTCTAACACAGCCGGTATTACTCTGTGATTGTCTTTCAATCGATCGGCATAGAATTTTGCAATAAATCTTACTTCAGTCTCTGTTAAAAGATTGTTTGGTAGTTGTTTCAGAAGTTTTGTAAAAAAGGACATCCCTTTTTCACGGCTTTCTGGCTCTTTATGGATTAGCACTCCACCTAAATTCTCTATAATTGTTAGCAGGTTGATATGGTTGGCCGTGATATCTGAAATAAAAATAACAGTATTATAATTATTCTAGCAATATATTATGTTAGGTTAAATTACAATTAAATAGGTATTTGCATGCCTACCTATTAACTTGTATGTGTTAAGTAGAAATAAACTACTGAATAAAGCCACCACCATGTTGCATAATAATGCAACATTATGTCATTATGATGTCATAAACATCCTCACAATTAATTATTACGTTATAATATTTGAAAGATTTAAAATTTTTTAAATTTAAATTAAGCAATTAACATTACTTATTTGTCATTGGTGTTGATACTAAAATAATATCAATATTTTCAGGTATCCATTGTGACTCTGCAATCCATGGTTGAGAGTCTATAGCAACACTAATATTCCAGGATACAAATACAAAACCAACTTAGTTCTAGAGTAAGTTCTTATTAGAAGGTACTGGAGGAGAATGAGAAATAGTTTGTAATAATAGCAGTTCATGAAATAGGTCCCTTGGTAATACTACACCATCAAGTATATAACCAGAAATAGAGATGAAATAAGGGCCATATATTCCTGGTCACACATTAGCGATACAACTCTTATAAATATCAACTCTCATTTGCACTGAAATATAGACAGGCCAACTACTGACCTGTGTGTATGTCTCCGCATATCCAAAAAAAACTTCTGTATTTATTGTAACAAAGATAATATCTATAACAATGCCGTGCTGTACTAATTGGTGGTGTGGGCAAAACACCAAAACATCTAATTACAAATCAAACGGAATCACATTGCATTGGTAATTAAATATTAAATATTTAATTTTGCAATTTTCATCCATTATAGCAAAGCTCAAGTTAACTGGTCGATTTGAAGTGAAACCGTTAACGACACCCGTCAATTGTTTCGAACTCGGGCTAGCCAGTCGGAGCACAGTTGTCACAGTAATGATATGACAAAATAGTTCTCAAACAAATTAAATGACATTTCGTCTCTATTTCTGGTTATATACAATAATTTAAAACATGATAACTATGTATGGATCAGCTTAAAGATGTTTTTGATATTCACTCTTGACATAATGTGAAAAAGATTATTTTCAAGTTCATCTCGAGGAAGGTCTTAAATCATCAGCATCAAACTGGCATTTTGCATCATTAAATTAAACTGATAGTGTAATCATTTTAGATGAAACCCTAACTTGTTAGGACCATTACAATAGTTCCAATGAAATGGCAAAACCAGATTCAAAATCTGAAACTAAAAATGAAATTGAACTTCTGATAATGATAATGAAGTGGTACTCCACACTTACCCTAGCAGTGAGTTAGTGTGGACAACCACTGAACCGAGGTACAAAGATCGACAAAAGTTTAGAGCGGAGACATGATCGTCGGGCAAACGACACGTTGTTGTAAAATGTAATGAGAAAATTATTTTATGCTCTATTTATGGCATAATTGAAGTACAGTTACCACAACACGCGAGGTTATATAAAATAGAAATGTAAAAAACTTACCAGCTACAATAGTTTGGATTTCGTCGGTAATGCCATCGTTAGCTATTATTCGGTCAGACAGCAATGAAGAATACCACGGTGATTCAGATTCCATTCTGATAGTTTGTGAAATTTGTAATACAAGTTATACTGTCTTGTAAAATTCCAAACTTGTTAGCGGCAGTGTTTTACTTACAAATCTAACATTAATAAAAAATTGTGTTTCTGTGTGTCATACATGGCTCTAAGTACGAACAATTTAGATAAAAAAAGGCAAAGATATACAACAAGAGAAGAAACGTATGAAACGTATGAGAAAATATTTTTTTGAAGTTTTTTTTTTTTAATACATACGTTACCTCAGCAGAAACCGCCCATCTATACATACAGTTACACGCTATCGCGCTATACATTTACACTAGCACAGAATACTATATTCACAAGGAATACATTGCAGATAAAGTGTGTAGTGTAACTAGTGTATCCCAAGCATATAGGTTGGAAATGGAATTAATTAAATGAAATCAACACCGATTTTCTTCCAACTTTGGCCAAATTCGTTGATTTTTTTTTCTTCTTCTTTCCATAAAGGAAAAGGCAAAGGTTTTACACCATACAGCAAAGTCTTGGTACATTATTCTCCAAATTTCGTTGATTCATTTTTGACCAACCAAAGAAGACGGAAAATTCACGAAGACTTGGCTGTATGATTTCAAACCTTTACCTTATCCTTCCTGTACGGAAAAAAAACAACAAAGAAGACCACAAACCAAGAAGAACGCAACCACAAATTAGAAAGATATAACGCTAACGCAACGTAATAGAAGAAGACGGCAACACGAGTGACAATTGTGCAATAATTTTAAATTACACTTTGTGTGTAATACTAAAATAATTTAAATTAGGGCATCATTAAATTCCTAATTTACAATGTCGCACAAAAATTTAATCGATTTCGTTGTGAAATATCATAAACCACGCTTGTTAAATAACCTAGTGTTTTTCCCGAGTAATGGAAACTCTTATTTTGGAAGACGATTTGTGGTTCCACCCGCTCCACTATGTACTTCAACACCGAAAATAATGTCGCCAAGAAGTTTCAGCTCCACTTCGACAAAATTCAACGAAGTTCCGGCTAGTGCACAGACGTTGAAAGGGAAATTTCAACTAATGTTTACATGCAAAAAATGTGACACAAGAAACTCCAAGTTTATTACAAAACTTGCTTACTACAAGGGCGTCGTAATAGTTATTTGTGATGGCTGTGAAAATAAGCACTTGATTGCTGACAATTTAAATTGGTTTTCGGACATGAATGGGAAGAAAAACATAGAAGATATAATGGCGGAAAAAGGAGAAACTGTACAGAAAATCATGTCTCCAGATCTTGAATTTATTGCCAACGAATTAGCCAGAAATGTGGCAAAACAAGAAGAAAGTGTTTTATTAAATTGATAATACTTAGCTATTTTTGCATTTAATATATTTTATAATAATGTACAGTGCTTCTATTTTCGGCAATCATCGGATTTCCGAATGCACATGAATATTAATTTCCATGACCATTAATTATTAGCTTTAAAATGTATAATAATTTGAATTTTGAACAATGTTCTTTAATGTTGTTTTATTTTGATTTCCTGTGAACTATATAGAGCTGTAAAACTATTTCCCTATTTTTAATAATGTTTACTCCATGTCAGTAAGCAAGTTGACAAAAATAAGTAAATAAACTGTGCTTCTTTTACTTAGAGCATATCTAAGTTCTTTTATATAACTAAAAATGAATATTTTTCCCTTCATAAATCTTTTCAATTCAGTCCATATCTGAAAGCATTTCTTTATCTGATATAGCTATTTTATTATATAGACTTAGCAATTTTAGTGTGTTCACCATTACATCAATGGTGAACAATAAGAAATAAAAATAATCACATTCTGCACTACTCAAACAGGTATGTATTATGACACAACAGTCAAAATCGTCTAAATTTAAACAAAATGTATTGTTTTTCGTACCTTTTTAGAAGACTGAAAAGGAACCAATTTATATTTTTTTATCATATTCTTTTTAAATATTTACTGTTCCGATTGAAACACCAACAAGTACAGAAACACATTTTTGGACTGTTTAAAAATAACCATTGTTGTTTTTCTTGAATGTATCTGCTTCATGTACAAAATACACGTACACGCTGTAAATTATCTGTCATGCCTGTGACTTTAGTGGCTTTCCTCTCATAAATAAAAAATGTAATAGCAACTCTATATACTTCCAAGTTGACTGAAAGCGTCCAGTCTGTACCAAATGCAAAAGGCAACTGAATAAAACCTGACGACAGCTGAAACACGAAGTTTGCCGAGGGATATTGAGAAAATAGAAGCACTGCACAGAGCAAAAACAGGTTAACCTGACATTTAGATTTAGACAGTAAAGAGAACTTTCTCACATTGTACTCCCACAATACTCGTTAAATAGCAAAACCTGCAGAAGCCTCTGAAATCACTAAGTGGAAAACTCAATACTGGCAAACCCAAAAAGAGCACCGCCATTGTGCAAAAAGAAAACTAAATTATAAGTATCAAGCTTAATACGTTTTAGACTGCACTTAGTACTGATTTAAGTTTCTGTGGATTGGTTTATTTATGTGATATGTTAAAAAATTTCCAATAAACAGATTTGTACCCATTTGATTTGTTACGAGTGGAATTTAAATAATAAAGAATTTAAAACAAAGGTTAAAAAATTAATACCACCATATTGTTTAATATACATATTATATAGAAACCAAATACCTTAAATATTTATTTTTTATTTGCTTCAAATGTCTGATACAAAGATTAAATGATAATAAATTCAAGTTAATCACAATAATTATGGCCAACTTAAACTAAATATTGGTTCATTGTGGTAAAAACCGAATGCTGTCAGATATTCTACCACAATAACTTGTTTTTTAAAATAATGGATTTATTTGATTAAAAAAACATTTTTCTTTCTAAATGACTGCTTACACAATCTGCAAATGGCTAATGCTTAACCATGCATTCAATCAAAATAGCAAATAATTGCTATTTTAGGAAACAGGGAACGCCACACATACTGATATAAAAATCACATAAAGCCAGAAAAAGCTTTATGTCCATGTAATAAGAGCGAAAAGACGTTGCGGCGACAGTGTGAGCGTAAGCAAACCCCATTGAATGTACTTATAGTCAAAAAATAAATACTTTTCCAGATATCTTTCCTATAATTTTCCACGTATTTTTCCTATAAGTTTAACGTTGACACCTTTCAAGAGTTGAAATTACTGAACCAGAAGTATGGAGCCATTATAAAGGTTTTTTTTTTACTGTCGTGTAATAATTTTTACTCTCGTTTTTCTCTTCAGTAGCTTTTGGTTACACAAGTTTATTTTATAATTCACGATAAGCAAAACTTCAAAACATATTTCTAAACGTAGAACATAATAATGAACCTTCGAAATTATATTTTTCCAATTTTTTAGGAATTCTTCCACCTTAAGCCAATTCAGAGTTAATACATTTGGTCATCCTCTTATGACAACCAATCATAATATGGATTTGAAAGGTTAAAGAGGCTATTAAAAATTGTGACATTTGTGGTAATGTCCGTCGAGCGTTCATCCACGTCTTCGGATCCAGCCGGCTTAACATGAGCCCGAAGACAAAAGTTCTCTTGTTCGAACTGTCAAGTTTCTCTCGAAAATCTCGAGAGAAACTTGACAGTTGCTTGCAATTCAAATTATTAACAACATTTACTTATGATGGAGCTTTAATATTCCACAAAGGCCTGTTTTTAACCGACTTCAAAAAAAGGAGGAGGTTCTCATTTCGATGTGTTTTTTTGTACGTATGTTTTTTACGCGATAACTCCGGTATTTGTGAACCGATTTTCATGATTCTTTTTTTGTTGGAAACCCCCATTTGGGAGGGTACCCCCATAGTGGTCCCATTTAATTTTGAAGAAAATCAACCACCTCTAAGGGTGACTGTTCACGCATGAAGATTCATTTAGTACTCTGTACTGAGATTGTTGCTTAGCCCCTTTCAGTTTACGAATGACTGTGACTGGTCAGTCATAATTTTAAATTAGCATACATTTGTATCTTACGAGCAATGCGTATAACATACTACATTTAATTTTATTGTTGCCATTAGATTGCATTAGCAGTCAAAAAAATGCATAGGCGTAGTTAAATATCACAAACATTTTACTGTCTCAGAAATTGAAATAGGCAGAATACTCCTTCAGCTTCAATGAAATAATATCTCTCTGAAATTCTGGAAATATTGTATTTTAGTTATATTTTCGATGTGTCTAGCAGTTACTTTACTAATGTTACTGTAAAAGTTTTATAATCAGAAGTAAGGAAAGAAATATTTTATATTTTAAATTTATGCCTTTTTTTTAAATATTTGATAGTGAAATACGCAGAATACATCACGTCAAGTCAAAAATACTATATAATCTCTACTGCAACTCATTCTGCAAAGAAAAATCCAGGGCTGCAGAAGACATGACCATAGAAAATCTTGCAGTGGTTCAACATAAGTACCATATAATTCTTCAGAGCTCCAATTTCATGGGTCCAAGTGGCTAAAATAACAGCCACCAGGCACACCAAGAATATTTCAGAGAGAGGTATTAGTACTCCATATGCTAAAAGTATACTCTACCTATTCCAATCCATGCTTATTACCTGCAATAACCATAAAAAGAAACAGCATGCCCCCATACAGGCAGTAAGTGCAAAATTAGCCATAGTGTCTACATGAACATTGACTTACAATTATATGGACGACGGGTCTAATACAAAAACCACGAAAAAAAGTCCTAAGTCAACCTATTTAAACGTAATGACATGTAAAGAAATATGAAAAGGCTAAAACGTTGAATTTAAATTGTAATATCATCGCAGTACTGTCTAATTTTGCTTGCTTCGCTGTCAGTCGAACAAACGAAGACTAAAGCGTGAATGACGCTCTGTATACGATTTTAACGCCCTATAAGTTCGGACACTTTTTAGCGAGGACCCGACGTCCATATAATTGTAAGTCAATGTACATGAAGTATAAAATTGACAATTCTTTACTGTGTACAATACATTCACTTAGCTTAAATATTATTCCACTATTGGCACAAGTTGGTAAATATCCTCATATTATGCATATTCACAAGATTAAAAAAATAAGGCACATTAATCACATCATACATTTACATAATCTCTTATAAACAAAAGTACTTGTGCGTTTGTAAAAAATGTACACTCTAATACAGTGGGCTTAAAAATAAAATTTTAACGATATAATAACAAGGAATGCAATACAGTCTCATTTAATATTTGAGCTAATGGAATTTTGATTCAGAAATGTAATCTATGAACAATTCAATGGAATTTTTTAAAATCTTGTATCAAATCAGACTCAATCACTAACTTCAGTCTTCAAATAATTTCAAGTATTGTATTTTTCTTGGAAACTAATTTTATACTCGTTTCGGACGGCTCACAATGGCATAATCTGTACCATTGCAATTGTTGTGAGATACTTCTTCCAAACCAACTTGATTTTGCAGAGCTTGGGCCTGTGCAGCTGTTGGCACTTGAGGACCTGGCGTATTGGGTTTCCTAATAATCCCATAGCCCAAATGAGAATCATCTGCCATCCTAGCAGTCTGCATGACATTCTCTACTTCATCATAATCATTCCAGGTATCTTTACTTTTTGGATCACTCAATGCCAATGTAGTTGGCCGTGCTTCAATCTTCTTATACTTTGATGATTTGTTCAGTTTACTTGTAGAACCAAAGTACTGCAATCTGTCATAATTCTCATCATCTGGATCAACTACTGGGCTTGGTAAAAGAATAATCCGTGATGATTCAGGTCCAGTGCTGTTCAGGTTATCTTGAGACCGGGAAATGAGTTTCATACAATTAGGATTGTCTCCCAGGTTTGGTGTGAACTCTGTATGGTCAGGATCATCAATGCCAAAGGTTTTCCATGCTTCACTACGCACTTCTACTTTATCATATGGCACTGAAGGTGGACTCTCCCTTTTGATTTGGTCAATTGGCTCATAATTGTCAAGTTTCTTGTATCTGCCAAATTCAATACTATCATCAGCTGAAGACGGCAGTTCCTTGTAACTTTCAAGTTTCTTAAGTCTGCCAAAATCTACACTGTCATCATTAGAACTAGGTAGATCTTTAGCAATACCTTTGTGAAGATTTGGAATAATTTTCCTAGGAGGTTTCTGAGGTTTTGGCTTCAAAGCTGGTTTGGGCATTAATAAAGGAGCAGTATCTCTATCTGAACTAATGGAGTTCTGGCTAGACACTGACGTTTTAAATGACAAAGAACTTAAATTCAGATCATCAGGTCGTGTTGCAACTAATGGGCTCCTAGAGCCTGGGAATAAATTGTTGACACTGGGTATGTTAAACTCGCTATGTTCAGGACTATTCAAATTGTCACTGCCAATCAGCTGTTTCATGGTCTTCATTTTTAAAGACAGGCATTTGAATATTTCAGATTGATTCTGATGTTCTAAATGGAAAATTCCTTCACCTGTGTCACATTTCCTGCCAGCCTCAAATGTAAATTTTCCCTGTCTATAACCATACCTCCTTATATACCTGTATGGCCATGTGGCATATAGTTTGTTATCATTTAAGTCTCTCAATTCTATAGCTGTAGCTGTGAGAAGGAGAAGGTATCTCATTGGGTCAAAACCACATCTTGTAGAAGCTTCTGATGGGCACATTTTTACTGAAAATACTCCTTCCCCTGATGAGCAGTAAAGGTCATTGTCTTCATCACAACATATGGGATTTGAGTCCCGCCCCTTGAAAGCAACAGACTGCAATGCTGACACCCAATCCAATGCCTCAGCATCGCTTTGAGTACTGACTTGTTGGGTACATGACTTAGTAAGTATAGTAATTGTGTTTGGACTAGAATGTGTTATTTTAATACAATTTTCCAGAGTAATAATCTTGGGAATGGCACCAGAAGTCACTTCTTCTTTATGATCGTAAATTTCAAGCCGCTCTATGCCTTGTTTACTTGCAGTAAATAAAATGCAGTACTTCAGTTGCCAGTTTTTCTGTAAAATAAAATGTACCGTGTTAACAGCGAAATAGTGAAAGGTCCACTAAGTATTAATGTCCTTATCACAAAAGTATACTCATAGCCTCAGTTTCTCAGAGATAAACACAACGAAAAGTAAAAGGCAATAAGTTCTATCTTCGATATTATATAGTATATAAGATCTATCAAAACAACTTGGCATCTACTAGTGACTCATTCGAAAAACCGTAATGTCGTAACCGCGTGCTACGTACGTTTATTCTAACTTTATGTGAACACTGCTTAGCGAATTTTGGTCGTGTAATTAAGCGTTTAAAGTACCTTTTTGGGGAATTTGCTAAACATATTCCCTCCAGCAGGTGGGAATAACAAACAACCAGATTTTATTTCATCGTCTTGTTCCATCGTAAATGATCTATTATATGTATGATTATCCACACAAACAATTCCGAACTACACAGAACAGCATATCAATCACTTAAAGAACACAGTTTTCGTTGATTTAAAACCATAAAACAATTTTTTTTAGGAAAGAATAAAATTGACAGTCAGTCGTCCCAAACGGTAGCCGCCATTTTTTTGTTATTTATTATTCCGTTTCACTTGGATACGTGAACACACATGCCAACTGGCAGCCAAGGGCCAAGAAAGACAAAGTGGACTATACACGTTCGTATTATGCTTACAATATTTTATTATGTTGGTTATTTAGCCGGACATAACCCATTCACTTTAACAAATAATAATAATAATTGTAATAATAATAGTAACAATAATTATTGGTGCGTATTGTTCTAATAGGGTGACATTAATTTGTAAATATGCTTCTAGTGTGCTTTAGATTTGTATTTATATTTATGTATATGTATTTAGATTTGTAGTTGACGTTTCAGATCCTTAGGGTCGTATTCCAGAACTCTACACAATGCTCAAGTCAGGACTTGAGTATGATTTAAAGCATTGAAAATCATACTCAAGTCCTTGCCATTAGGGTCGTATTTCCAGTGCTTCAAATCATACTCAAGTCTGCTCATTCCTGACTTGAGTAGTACTACTACTAGTCAGGACTTGAGCAGACTCTGATGGCAAGGACTTGAGTATGATTTTCAGTGCTCACTGCAATACTCAAGTCCTGACTTGAGTATTGAGTAGAGTTCCCTACTCAATACTCAAGTCAAGATTTCTGTGAAGATAATGCATATTCTATCACTCTTCATTGTCTATGCTGTAGGTTGCTATGGCTACAGTCTGACATGTTATTTTTCACTCTTGTCACTCATGTATATACTGTTACATTTAAACTTGGTCTGATAAATAAATAATAATAATAATAATTGTCTTTTCTGATAAATAAATATCACCCCGTAGTTTTTGGTATTTCCGAGACATGGTTAAAACCGGGAGCCCTATTCAGAGTTCCTGGCTATGCATGCCTTCGGGATGACAGAAGTGATGGGTGGGCTGGATGTGCCCTACTAGTGAAAAGGAACATCATATATACACAACTCTCCATCCCCACTCACTCCACAGGCCTCCATGTTGTCGCTATTAGAGCACAAAACAAATCATTTGTCTCTGTCTACATTCCCCATCCTAGCCTTGACCTCATCATAGAACTATCCGTGATCCTCTCATCCCTCCCTTCCCCCCTAATTGTTTTAGGAGATTTCAATATACGCCACTCGCTGTGGGGATCTCACATCTGCGACTCTTTATCCTCTGCTTTTCTCGATCTTCTGGACAACACAAATTTATGTATAGTTAATGATGGCTCTCCTACACGCAGAACTTCCCCCCTTCAAAATACCAGCGCGCCTGACCTAACCTTAGTCTCTCCTAGTTTAGCCCCTTCCACCTCCTGGCTTGTTCTGTTAAATTCCTTTGGTAGCGATCACCTTCCTATATTAATTTCAGTAGGAGACTCCTCACTTATCCTCACACCAGACCCCCCTCCCTTACTTAAATACAGGCTTAGGCAGGCAGACTGGGACATTTACTCCTTGGTCCTGAACAGCAAAATTGTAAACATGCAACCAGTTCAAGTAACCCCCTCAACAGTTCTGCATATATATTCAGAGTTCATCACATGTTTGTTTTCAGCCGCAGATGAAACGATCCCATTAAAAAACTCTGCAAATAGCAAAATTTCCTCTCCCCCGTGGTGGGATTCGGAATGTTCTGCGTCAGTCAAGGAAAGAAATCGGGCAGAACTTGAATTCACATGTGACTTATCCTTTGAGAATCATTTAACTTTCCAAAAGATTTCCGCTCACACGAGAAGATTTCTGAGCAAAAAGAAATTTCAAGGATGGCGTGCATTCTGCGAATCTCTGGAACCCCGCACCCACCCGTCTACAGTGGGGAAGAGAATAAAATCCTTTCGCAGATCTCAGACTGATCACAACAACACCTCGTCTAACGACCCGACACCCTGGCTTGTGGATTTTATTACAAAATTATCCCCCCCTTTTGTTCCTTCAGAAGCTCCTACCGTTATAAACACCTCCTTGTCATCTCCTGACCGTATGAATGCCCCCTTCTCTTTTGAAGAACTAAGCTGTGCTTTGGACCATTTAAGGGATTCGGCGCCGGGTGCGGACGGCATTCCCTATTCGTTTATTACCAGGTCCTCTAATCCTACCAAAATTTTTTTTTTGAATATTATAAACACAATTTTTGAATCTGGCATAGTCCCTATTTCATGGAAAACCCAAATTATCATTCCAATCATAAAACCTGGGAAAGACCCATCTAATGCAAACTCGTATCGACCTATCGCCCTATCATCGGTTTTAGCTAAAATCATGGAACACCTAATAAAAAACCGTCTGGAATGGATAGTAGAGAGCAAGGGATTGTTACCCAGAAGCCAGTTTGGCTTCCGAAAAGGCATGGGCACTATGGACAGCCTAAGCATTTTTTCATCAGATGTTCGACTAGCCCTCTCCGAGGGAAAACACGTCATAGGTGTGTTCTTAGACATAACATCAGCTTATGATAACGTGAATCTTCCACTACTCTGGCAGAAGATGCTCAATCTGTGTATTCCTGTGAAGATGATCAATGTCATTTACAACATGTTTATGGGTCGCTCTATCGCAGTGCGTGTTAACGGTTCCACAACCCCCTCCCGTATGGTCTGGAACGGCTTGCCTCAAGGTTCCGTTCTTAGCCCTCTCCTTTTCAGCTTGTACACGTCTGACCTCGGCACTTCAGTCAATTGCTTCAGCAAAAACTTGCAATATGCAGACGATATCGCCATGTACGCTTGTTCCAAATCTTTTTCAGATACTGAAAGACGCCTCAACTCTGCCCTTTTTTACCTAGACTCTTTGCTTACCGATCACGGCCTCTCTCTTTCAGCTAACAAAAGCACAGCTGTCGTTTTTTCCCGCAAGAGACGCCTCCCTGAAACTGAAATACATGTTAATGGGGAAATCATAGAACTGAGGGAAAAAGTAAAATTTTTAGGCATTATTTTGGACTCAAAATTATCTGGCATCCATCACCTCAACTATATTTGTCAAAAAGCTGAAAAAAGCATAAATGTCCTACGTGCACTTTCTGGTGTTCGTTGGGGATCACATCCGTATAACCAAAAGCTCCTGTACAACGCAATCATTAGAAGTCATTTTGATTATGGCGGCTTCCTTCTGGAACCATGCAACAAAATAGCCTTGGCTAAGATGGATAGAATCCAGGCAAGATGCCTGAGAATAATCACAGGTACCATGAAATCCTCACCAACAAACGCTCTTCAAGTCGAATGTCTGGAGCCCCCTCTACATCTACGTAGACAATTCCTTGCTAATAGATTCCTCTTCAAGATCTTTCAATATTCTTCTCACCCTTTGCTTCCCGTATTGCAATCCTTGTCGGAGATTATCCCTTCATCCAATTATTGGTCACACAAGAAACCCCCCCTTCTTATCAACAGTTTTAACAAAATTTCCAATCTCCCTTCCCTATTTACCAAAATTATATGAACCCGTTGTTTGAAACTGATTTTAAATGTTTAACGCTTCGCCCAACAGTCTATCTTAGTTTTGGCATCATGAAAGATACCCCTGGAGCAAACCAAGTCTTCAACGATATAGTTGAGAGAGAATGGCATGACTGGACTACTGTTTTTACCGACGCTTCAAAATTACACGAACATGGCGACTTGGGAGCCGCGGTTTGGTTCCCCAAGTTCAATGTCGTACTCAGTTTTAAATCCCCCTATCTGAATTCGGTCTTTTCGGGAGAGGCAATTGCAATACTCGAAGCCATTTTATATATTGAGTCCCATAAAATTAATAAATGTTTGGTTTTCTCAGACTCACTAAGTTGCCTCCAAGACATTATTAAGCTACCGTTTCATTCCAAAGACAATTTCTCCATCACCCTCCAAATTAAGGAAGCTCTGTACCGATGTCATTGTGCGGGAATTGAGGTAACTCTGGCCTGGATTCCCGGTCACAGTGGGATTAGTGGCAACGAAGCAGTAGACGCCTTTGCAAAGGATGCGACAAGAATTGGCGTATGCAAATACTGTAAGTGCTTTCCCAGAGATCTGCTCGCCATGACCAAACCCCAAATGCTAGCCTCCTGGTCGGTCCTTTGGCAGGAATCACGACAAACTGTTGGTAGACACTACGGTAATCTCCAACCAAATCTACCCACTAAACCCTGGTTTTTTAAACGTCGCGATTTGCCTAAAAACATCACTTCCACTATTATTCGTTTGCGCTTAGGCCATGTTTGCACACCTGTATTTTTGCGTAAAATCAGAGTTCGAGATCACTCTCTGTGCGAGTGCGGCCTAGAAGACGGTACCTTGGAACACATTTTTTTCAATTGTCCTAATATTGCTGTTCCACTTTATAACTTACTTTCTCCAAAATTCCCCCGCCCCATTAACATAAACAACCTCTTAACTTTAGTGTTCTCCCCCCATATTGTTACTCTATGTAAATTTATCCACTTAAATAACATATATTTATAAATATTGTTTTGCTGTTTTGTTTTACATTCTCAACTGAGTACTCCCGTAGTCCAACTTACCACCACCGGTTAATGTCCTATTAGAGCTTAGCGAAAATTTTTTTTTTTTGTTTCGTTTTTTTTCTTTCAACTGTGACATTGGCAAAATCATTAGTTCTCATATTGATGGAGCCATAAAAATAAAAAGTGAAGTGAAGTGAAACTTGGTCTACTTATTAAATATATAATAATATTCATTTATAGTTGCATATCCTTTATTATTTACATAACAAAAACTTAAAATGGTAGCAGAGAAGAAAAAGATCTGATATTTTTGAAGTGAAGTGTAAAACTCGCGCAATATAAGACGATGCCGAAAACGACATATCACATCGAACCTTTGGATAAGGATAACGATGATACCTGGGCGATACAAGCTGAAGCCCTGCTAATAAAAAACAAACTTTG